TGATTGCTGGATACCATTCCACACTAGCAGTGACTAGAGATCTTTAGAGGAACATCTGATTCCATGTTTAGACTTAGACATATATAAGATGAGTCTGGGACCTTTTATTGCACCAGAAAGCAAGTTAGAATTCTCAAAGTTAATGAGGTTGTGTCAAAAAGACACAGGAATCAACTTTAAAAACCTCCCTAAAGGCAATTTGAGAATCAAAAAATATATTGAATGCAATCGATTTAAAAATTTTGAACATATTTTACAAAATGTACTACTTATACAGAGAGAGAAAAAGCCAACTAAAAAAACCCCACAGTTACCACTCTTTGGTCACCATTAGAACTTAACAATTGTTTCTTACTCTGAGATTTGGCAATCAAAATAAAGAAGTAAAGCTTTATCCTGCTTTCCTGTCTCGTTGCATATGTAGCCATGTAGCCTTAATTGACAAGCAAAAGTTCTTTATCGAATTCAAGCTAATATATACACAAAGATAATAGAAAAAATAATAGAATCGGGTCATCATTATCCTGCTACATGTAATTGGCTTACAATATGATTATTAATGGGTAAAAACACTAAGAAAATGTTGATAGGGGACTGTACAATAGAAGGATTAATCTGTTTATTACCTGAAACCACTGATTAATCTTAGCATCAGTAAAAGGACATAGTGTTCCCTATGTAGTATTTTTGACCATCCCTCAAAAAAGAAAATTGCTTCACTTGACTCAGTCTTCTAGGCAAGTTAACTTCTTTTTACAGGAGAGTAGATGCATGGATTACATGACACACAGACAAACTCAGAAAGTCGGTTTTTCTATAGAGTAAGAGACTCGGTTTCTGCAACAAGTCAATGGCATGAAAGAAGAAAATCAAAGGGAGGGAAAACAAGGTTAGCGCTAGATTAAAACGAAATAAGGCAAAAAGCCTACAAAGCAAATGTAATGCCTGAGACGTGGTTTGGATTGTGATTCAAATAAGACATCAAGGAATTCAACTGGGGCTGGATGTTAGATTATACCAAGGAATTATTTTTAATTGTGTTAGTTGACCTAATGGTGTTGTAGCCAAATGTCTTTAATTTGAATTGATACCTCCTTAAATAATAAAGAAAACATTTTGATATATATGTAATTTGTTTGAAAATTCCTCAACACCTAAAAGGATAGATGAAGTAAATGTGGCCAAGTCTTTATAACTGTTGAATCCAAATAATGAGCATGTGGGGTTTATTGTTCTGTTCTCTCCACTTTTGTGTCTATTTGAAAACTTTTCATAATAAAAAACTACTTAAGCCCCCCCCAAAAAACAGAAAACAAGAGAAGAATGTGATAAATATAGAGAGATTCTAATATTTTTCTTACCCCTCTGGATTTTCTTGTACCTTCTGCCTTAGAGTCCACTGGCTTAAGAAGATAAACAGACCATAGTGAGTCTATCAGGGACACCTGAAATACCTGTTCTCTTAAACTCTACATGTTGACCAAGGTGGCGTCTATAAGAAACCCAAATTCTGTCTGATTAACCATCCTTTTAATTGATTTAGTCTATTTCACACTAATAAAATTCTTTCCAGTAAACGAACACCCTGTCACTAACTGGAACTCCTGGGTTATACAGCAAAGTCTGTCAGTAAATCCACTGCATCACAGCTGTGTTTTTCTTCATGAGAAGTGTGGACCTTTTAGTTCATTTCTTTTGAAAGGGACTTTAATATTTTATTCCCTAAAATGTAAAAGTTCCCATTAGATGAGTGCATGTCACATTCACAGACTGATGGCAAGAAAAGGTGAATATGAAAAAGAGAGTTGATTAAATTCCTCAATATTTAAAAATGGTCTCTTGCATTGATTTCACGTAGGCTGAGGCAATCAAGCCTTTCTCGTCAAGACTCTAAACAACAAAACAGAATACTTGTAGCCTTCCTGTAGGGTAAGAGCGTATCCAACCTTTGACACAGCAGCTCAGACTCACTTCAGAGTTGCTCAGATTTTCTAAATTATTTATTAATGTTCAAACCCATGTCATTAATAACTTAATATCAAGCGGCAAGTGAGTTCCTTATGTGATTTAATTTCTCATAGCTCCTTGAACTCTGAAGACTCTCAAGCTCTAAGGATTCTCTAGAGAAGACTGGTCATGGGGAAAGAAAGGAAGGAACAGAGACATTTGCAGGCAACCTAAAGCTGTGTCAGCAGCTTATGCATACTAGCAATGTAGTCCTTTATGTCAGAAGCTATTTTCAACACTTTCCCCAAATACACCGTGAATTCATGAGCAAGAGAACACAGATGTTAATTGAGGAAGGGGTCTTCCTTCCACTTCGCCTTCCACGCCACTGTTTCTTAGTCTTAGAGTGGAAGCAAGATTGCATCCCAGCCCTCTATCAGAATTTGTATGTAGAGTCCTAATTATCGGAACCAACAAATCATATCTCTCTTCCTTGTTCCATTTTACACTTCAGCTATTTATCTTTAGTGATGAGATACCCAAACATGCTGAGCAATGATGAGACCAGTCAAAACTAGCTCATTACATAAGCTAGACTATCTGAGGAAATGCATTTCTAATTATGAGAAAATAAAAGGACAAATAATTTTGGAAGTGGGCTACAAATGTACTTTTTTTAAATAAAGGTAAGTTACCTCACCAGTGAGTGTGTTGAATATAAATGTTTCTTTTCAGAGGACTGTAGATTCCCATCTTTTACCTGAAAGAATATCTTCCCTGACAGGGTGACTCCGGGGCATGTTCACACTTACTGTGATGGGGGACAGAATCACCTTCACTTTTTAAATTAATTTTATGAATTATTATATTTCTTTTTTATTGAAGTATAGTCAGTTTACAATGTGTCAATTTCTGGTGTGCAGTATAATGTGTCAGTCATACATATACATCCATATATTCCTTTTCATATTCTATTTCATTATAGGTTACCACAAGATACTGAATATAGTTCCCTGTGCTATACAAAAGAAACTTGTTGTTTATCTGTTTATATATAGTATTTAGTATCTACAAATCTTGAACTCCTAGTTTATCTCTTCCCACCCTCTTTACCCCCTGGTAACCAGAAGTTTGTTTTCTATGTCTCCGAGTCTGTTTCTGTTTTGTAAATAAATTAATTTATGTCTTTAAATTCCACATATGAGTGATATCATAAGGTATTTTCTTTCTCTTTCTGGCTTACTTCACTTAGAATGGTGATCTCTGGGTCTATCCATGTTGCTGCAAAATACATTATTTTATTCTTTTTCATGGCTGAGTAGTATCCCATTGTATAAATATATCACAATTTCTTTATCCAGTCATCTGTTGATGGACATTTAGGCTGTTTCCATGTCTTGGCTATTGTAAATAGTGCTGCTATGAACACTGGGGTGCACATATTCCCTCCAGATATATGCCCAAGAATGGGATTGCTGGATCATAGGGTAAGTCTATTTTTAGTTTTTTTGAGGAACTTCCATACTGTTTTTCATAGTCTGCACCAAATTACATTCCAAACCAGTGTAAGAGTGTTCCCTATTACAAATTATTTTTCTAATATATCTTTGGCAGTGATGCACTGTTGAATTCATAAGTTAAATATCCATGTAAAATGTCTCCACTGGATGTTCAAAGAACTTCCTTATATTTTAAACTGTAAATGTCAAGTTTGTTCACAAAGAAGCAAAAAAGTGTGATGTAAATGAAATGGAACTTGGCATCCAAGGAACCAAGATTGTGTCCATTCTGCTCTTAGTAATGATATAGCTTTAGAAAACAGCTTAATTTTGTTTAGGTTTTATTTTCCCTATTTGTAAAATGAGGGGGTTTGATTTAATGATGATTTAGGTGTTCTTTATAATTTAACATCGTATATTTTTAAATGGGGGAAAACGTACCATAGTTAGCCTGTGATGATAAAATTATTTTATGTGGAGTTGTGAACATGTTTTAATTCTAAACTGACTCTTTATTGGTTAGAACACAGAGTTTGTTTTGAAAAGGAGCAAGACATGGGCTCCAAAAGCAGCTTGGTATTCACGGAGTTTGTGTCTTCATGTATATTATGTTTAAAGTTTCTATTTGATGCAGTAGGCAACAGGAAGTTGCTGGAAGTTTCGACGAGTGAAACTATATGCCAAAAACATGGTATTGGAAGTAAACAATAATTTTGACCCTTACATGTGGGACAGACAGGAGAAAAGAGGTAACTTTAACCCAGGTATTATTAGGTAATAGGGTCCAGGATTAAAGTGGCAGCTGTCAAAAAATTGTTTAAAAAGAGTTGAATCCAGAAGACATTTAGAATAGAAGTGGTAAGACTTAGTGGTTGATTAAATATAGAAGACATCAAAGAAATCAAAACAATACTTCCAAGTATTGTAAATGTGAAGAACCAGGGAGATCATAGCATTTAATTAAAAAAGGAATTATTATTTTCTATAGTTCAGGGGGCAAAAAAAATATCCAACTAAAAATATCTGTATAGACTATTGGAAAGAAAAAAAGTGAGAAGTGTAAATTTCCTGTACCTATCCCTTGTAATTAAGTGGTAAATAAAAATAGGAAGATAGGTTCATTCTGGGAGAAAACATGGAGGGAGATTAGTAGGGGGTAAAGGACTGACCTCTGGAGGATGTGCTCAGTTATAGAACATAAATGAGCAGAGACGATGAAGAAACGGTGC